GGGGGGGGGGGGGCGAGGGCAGGGCAGGGCAGGGGGCTGGAGCCGACGAGTCCCTACCTGCACACACTGGTTATTGCTGTCGGCCACCACGATGCGACCAGAGCTGGAGGTGGAGATGCCCTGCAGGTTGGTGAATTCCCCCTTCTCCCGGCCTCGGCTTCCTACAGGCAGAGCACAGGGTGAGAGGCTTCAGCTGGAGCAGCCAGGCAGGAGGGGTATGGGGAGCGGGCCCAGAATCACAGCAGGGTAGGACCGGAGGGACTCCAGAGGTCGTCTAGCCCAGTCCCCTGCACTCATGGCAGGACCATCCCGGACAGGTGTTTGTCTAACCTCCCTGGGCAATTTATTCCAGTGCTTAGCCACCCTGACAGGAAGTTTTTCCTAATGTCCAACCTAAACCTCCCTTGCTGCAATTTAAGCCCATTGCTTCTTGTCCTGTCCTCAGAGGTTAAGAAAAACAATTCTTCTCCCTCCTCCTTGTAACAACCTTTTATGTACTTGAAAACTTATCGTGTCCTCTCTCAGTCTTCTCTTCTCCAGCCTAACCAAATCCAAGCCTTTCAATCTTCCCTCATAGGGCATGCTTTCTAGACCTTTCATCATTTTTGTTGCTCTTCTCTGGACTTTCTCCAATTTGTCCACATCCTTCCTGAAATGTGGCGCCCAGAACTGGACACAATACTCCAGTTGGGGCCTAATCAGCGTGGAGTGGAAGAACGACTTCTCGTGTCTTGCTTACAGCACTCCTTATAATACATCCCAGAATGATGTTTGCTTTTTTTTGCAGCAGTGTAACACTGTTTAGCTTATCCACTCTGACCCCCAGATCCCTTTCCGCAGTACTCCTTCCTAGGCAGTCATTTCCCATTCTGTATGTGTGCATCTAATTGTTCCTTCCTAAGTGGAGTACTTTGCATTTATCCTTATTGAATTTCATCCTATTTACTTGAGACCATTTCTCCAGTCTGTTCACAAACGTTGTAAGTGCACGCCCTATGCCGGTATCCAAATCACTGATGAAGAATCGAACGGCACCAGAGCCAGGACAGACTCCTGCAGGACCCCACTCGATGTGCTGTCACATTCCCCAGGGTACAATCTGGATATGTCCTTGCAGCTCGGAGTACGGCTTCCAAGAAGTTGCGCACTCACCTCACAGGAGGTTTGTCTAGGCACATCTCCCGCTTCCCCCCAGCCACAAGGCTTCTTACCCTGGCAGAGAAGGACACGATTTGTTCTTGACAAATCCACGCTTGTGACGTTATTGATATAATCTGGGACCATATAGAACATGGTTGCAACCAAAGTCCTGTAGTGGCACCAAATCTTGTATAAAGGGGGTCAAATGGGGTGTCTAAGACAAGGTTATGATTTACTGGGTATAATTATGCTGTCTATATGTGTGTATCAGTTTTGTAGTTGAAGTTATGAATATTGGCTCTATACTGTCTGTATGGCAAACTTATGCTATGCTTCTGGGTGACATCCCAGACAAGCTGAGATTAGCTCTGCCTAGCCTGCTTGATGGCCCATTAAGGACCATCAGCTACAATTGACCCATGGAGAAAAGGCAGACACGCCTTGTAACTCAGCAAAGTATGCAGGGACTGGCCCATGTGACTCCAGCCTCCATTTTGCTGTAATTTTCCACAGTAAGGACAAAGAGGTGTTCTTACACCTGGAAAAGACTATACAAGGCTGATGCCTCATCTCCATCTTGTCTTCAATCCTGCTTCCTACCTCTAGAGGGACTTTGCTACAAGCTGAAGCTTTGAACAAAGGACTGAGGACCCATCCCAGCGGGGGATGTATTCCAGAGACTTGATTTGAACCTGCAGTTTATTCTATCGCTGCTACAAGCCTGAACCAAGAACTTTGCCATTCCTGTATGTAATTGATTCCATTTAACCAATTCTAGCGCTCGTCTATACCTTTTTCCTTTTATGAATAAAGCTTTAGATTTTGGACTCTAAAGGATTGGCAACAGCGTGATTTGTGGGTAAGATCTGATTTGTATATTGACCTGGGTCTGGGGCTTGGTCCTTTGGGATCAGGAGAACCTTTTTTCTCTTAATGGGGTATTGGTTTTCATAACCATTTGTTCCCATAACAAGTGGCACTGGTGGTAATACTGGGAAACTGGAGTGTCTGAGGGAATTGCTTGTGAGACTTGTGGTTAGCCAGTGGGGTGAGACCGAAGTCCTCTTAGTCTGGCTGGTTTGGTTTGCCTTAGAGGTGGAAAAACCCCAGCCTTGGGCTGTAACTGTCCTGTTTTAAGCGATTTGTCCTGAATTGGCACTCTCAGTTGGGTCCCGCCAGAACCGCATAGTTACACCACGCTGACTGTTACTTATCACCTCATTATCTTCTAGATGCTTACAAACCGATTGATTGCTTCGTTACCTCTCCAGGTACTGAGGTTAAGCTGACTGGTCTGTAATTCCCTGAGTTAGTCCCCGTTTTATAGATAGGTCCTGATGTGATGGACTGTGCCTGGCTGGCTGGGGCCTGGGCCACGGAGAGGCCCAGAAGACACTGCCCGGACATTTGGCACCTAGCAACTGATGCTCAGGGATGGGCCCCCCTCCGCAGGCAGCCAGCCGGTGTGAGCAGCTGGAGAGCAAAGGGCGGAGGGGGGTCAGGGGGTGTTAAGGATGGGTGGCACAAGGAGACACTCCTGGAGGGGGATTACAGAGGGGCCGAGGGGCTCTGGGCTCTGATCTGACCCGGCACTAACCCAGGACTCTGCGCTGGGTCCAGATCCCCAGGCACCCCCCTGCTGTTCCCGCCGGCAGAGTCACTGCAGAGTCAGGCAGGGGGGGTGCCTGGCTCCCTTTGGGGACAAGTCTCCCACCAGGCTCCCACCAGAGGGACTTGCTGAGGGGGATCCCGGCGTGATGCGGGGGCTGGGGGCTCTGAGGGTCGGTCCCTGGGGGGGAGCCGAGGGGCTGACCCCAGCGAGTGTGAACCGGAGGGGGCCGACGCCCTGCCAGGGGCTGTCCCGGACCCGGGACAGAGCACCGGCCTGTGGATCCCTGACACCTATATTTGACCATTTCCAGTTTCTGGTCCTCCAGAAGTTCTCCAAGCTACCGGCCAATGGCTCGGAGATCTCTTCAGCCAGCTCCTGGAGTGTTCTAGGGTGGGTTTCATCGGGCCCTGCTAACATCTAACCTGTCTACAGTCTTACCTTGCTCTTTGCCTACCCTCAGAACTAGCCTCAGCTCCTGCCCCATTCACACTGAGGCTGGCTACGTTCGTCATCTGATCGCTGCTAACGTTTGACCATACGAACGGCCAGACTGGGTCAGACCAAGGGTCCATCCAGCCCAGTGTCCTGTCTTGCGACTGAGGCCAGTGCCAGGTGCCGCAGAGGGAATGAACAGAACAGGAAATCATCAAGTGATCCATCCCGTCGGCCATTCCCAGCTTACGGCAAACAGAGGCTAGGGACACCATCCCTGCCCATCCCGGCTAATAGCCATTGATGGCCCTATCCTTCATGAACTTATCTAGTTCTTTTTTGAACTCTGTTATAGTCTTGGCCTTCGCAACATCCTCTGGCAAGGAGCTCCACAGGTTGACTGTGCATTGTGTGAATAAATACTTCCTTTTGTTTGTTTTAAAACTGCTACCCATTAATTTCATTTGGTGACCCCTAGTTCTTGAGTTATGAGGAGGAGTAAATAACACTTCCTTGTTTACTTTTTCTATACCACTCATGATTTTATAGACCTCTATCATATCCCATCTTAGTCGCCTCTTTTCCAAGCTGAAAAGTCCCAGACTTATTAATTTCTCCACATACTGAAACCGTTCCATACCCCTCATCATTTTTGTTGCCTTTTTGAGATGTGGCGAGCACACCCTCACGCAGTATTCAAGATGTGGGCGTGCCATTGATTTATATAGAGGCAATATGATATTTTCTATCCCCTTCTTTATGATTCCCAACAGTCTGTTCGCTTTTTTGACTGCTGCTGCACATTGAGTGGATGAGGTGAAAAGCGAAACCAAACAGGCATTTAGCACTTCAGCCCTTGCTGTGTTTTCTGTTATTCTCTTCCCTCCTCACTGAGTAACTGGCCTACCCTGTGCTTGGTCTTCCTCTAGCTTCTCGTGTGTCTGTAGAACGTTTTCTTGTTACCCTCTATGTCCCTATGGCTAGTTTAATCTCGTTTTGTGCCGTGTGTGACCGGCTGACACTCATAGCCTGGCAGCTGCTGGCCGGGCCTCCCCCTCTGCAAGGAGCAGCCGGGGGGGGTTGGTGCAGCCCAGGTGACCGGCTGGACCCGGAAAGGGACAAAGGACGGAGGAGGGCAACGGGCGTGATGGAGGCCAGGCAGCTGGAAGCGAGTCAGTCTCCTGGTTCGGGACTCGGGTCGAGGTCCCAGGGCTCTGCCCCCCATAATGGACTTTGCCAAAGGTCCCTGATCTCGGTGCTACCAAGCTCTGTTCTACGCTGGGTTCCCGACGATAATAACCCGTCTGTGTCACATGCGGGTGGGGAGTCACGGCTGGCTGCGGTGGGGGGGGCAGGGCCCTTTGGGGGTGAGGCTCCCCCAGGGGTCCCGCCCAGGGAGACTTGCTGCTGGGAGCTCCCAGGGTGACCAGGGGGCTGAACGCTCCGAGGTCAGACCCAGGAGGTGCCAAAGCGGAGCAGGGTCCTTGCCCTGGGACAGGTGCCCTGAGGGGAGACGCTGCCCCAGAGTCCTGCCTGGCGTCACCCCGAGCTGACCCTGGGCAGACCCTGGCCATGTCTTGGAAGGCTGAGGAGGCCCAATGAGGTCTGTGCCCCCTGCAGGACCCTCTCCCTGCTGTAGGTGCCACCCCTGGGCAAGCCCCTACTCTCAATGGCGCCGGGGCTCACCCACGCGGAAGATGAGCTCGTCCTCGATGGGGTTCTCCTTCTTCTTGCCGCTGCCGTACATGCTGGAGGGGCGCCGCACAGCCTTCTGCCGGATGTGCCCGCTGCTGGGGGACTTGACACGGCGCTTGACGTCGTCGGGCGAGGGGGGCACGTCGCAGGCCTTGAGGGCCTTGGTGCGGAAGGGGCTGCCCCGGATGGGCTGCCCGTACAGCAGGATGGAGAGCAGGAAGTCGCCCTCCTGCCGCGGCGTGTAGACCAGCTCGTAGGTGCCGTTCTTGTTGTCTAGCACCTCGGCCTCAGCCCGGCCGCCGTCAGGGGCCGTCACCTGGGCCTGCAGGCTGGCGCTGCCGCTGCGCACCAGCTCGCCGTCCTTGTCCTTGGTGGTGATGGTGAGGGAGGAGGGCTGCCCCACCACCGCGTGCCGCAGCCCCTCGCCCGTGGCCACCGTCTTGTGGGCGATGGCGCTGGTGGTGATGAGCACGCCCAGGTTGAGGATGGACTTGCGGACGCCGTCCGTCTCCACCACGTAGTCTAGCTGGTTGTTCTCCTGCGGCTGCTCGGGGAACTCCTGGCTGGCCAGCGCGCTGAGCCGCTCGCTCATCTGTTTCTTCACCAGCAGCACCTCCGTCTCCGTGCCGTGGTGCAGCGCCTGCTCCGTGAAGGTGCAGCTGCTTAGGATGTTCTCCTGGCCCTGCCGCAGGGCGTCCAGCTGGGCCTGCAGCACCTGGGGAAGGGGGACATCAGCCAGCGGGGCAGGGGGACTGGGCTCGGGAGCTGGGTGCCAGCAGGGCACGGGCAAGGCAGGCCCGGGTGGATGCTCAGCTACACACTGCTCAGGGGGACAATGCTGCTCCCCCGGGGGCTGCAGGGCCGTGAGCGGTGGGGGGGGATGCCTTGCCCGTTGCCAGGCCTGGGGGCACTTCCTTGTACCTGTCTCGCAGGTTGCTCTGCATGGCAGGGTCTATGGGGGGTATGTGCAGGGGGCTCTGGAGGTGCTGGGTGGGTCAAGCAGGGCTGGGGGGGTAGGGGGCTGTGACGCAGTGGGAATTTTTCATATTTTAGATAAATATTGTGTGCCTCAGTTTCCCCTGGGTTGTGCGTGGCTCACTAGGTGGGGAAAGGTGGCTGGCAGAGACCCAGGGGACGGCTGTGACTGCGCCTGGCTGTCTGGGGCCCACGGCCATGGGGAGCCCCACAAGACAACGGCCCCTCCAACTGCCCGGACATCTGGCACCTAGCAACTAACGCCCAGGGATGGGCCCCGTGCTGCAGGGAGCCAGCCGGTGCGACCAGCTGGAGAGCAAAGGGCGGAGGAGGGGCCGGGGGGGGGCTGTGAAGTGGGGGGTCGCCGGGCTGCCGTCCCCGCTAGCGGAGTCACTGCAGTCAGGCCGGGGGGTGCCTGGCTCCCTTTGGGTACAAGTCTCCCACCAGGGGCACTTGCTGAGAGGCGGGGGCTGGGGGGGCTGACCCCAGCCAGACTAGAGCACCAGACCACAGGCAAATAGAGGGGAGGGGGAGGGGGAGGGGGAGGGGCTACCTTCTGCTTGGCGCTGCAGGTGGCCTCCAGGTCACGCACGAGCAGCCCCTTGCGCTGCTGCAGGGCCTGCTCCAGCTCCGCGAAGGAGCCGCTGATCTCGCCCACGGCCGCGTTCTTCCGCTCCAGGAGCTGCTTGCTGATCTCGGTCACCAGCCCGATGGCAGCCGTCAGCTGGGGCAGCCTGCAGGGGGCGGGGCCGTCACCCAGGGGGCGGGGCCTCCCTCCAGCTCCCACGGGGCAGCCCCTCCCCCCCGGCCCCTGTCCTCCCAGTCGTCAGGTAGGGCAGCCTGCGGGGGTGCAGGGCGGTCACCCAGGGGGCAGCCCCCTCCCCCCCTTTGGCTCCCACAGGGCAGCCCCTCCCCACAGCCCCCACAGGCAGCCCGCCCCCTCGGCTCCCACAGGGCAGCCCCTCCCCACAGCCCCCACCCATCATCAGCTAGGGCAGCCAGAGGGGGGGCAGCTCCGTAGCACCCCCCCCCGGGAACCAGCCCCTGCCCCTCCCTGCAGCGGGGGCCCCGTAGCACCCCCCCCGGGAACCAGCCCCTGCCCCTCCCTGCAGCGGGGGCCCCGTACCGGCTCTTGATGGCGTCGAGCTGCTGCTGCAGTGCGGCCTTGTGCTGCTCCACCACGTTGCGCAGCGGCACGGTGACGTGCTCCCGGTGCTCCCCCTCTGTGCACTCGTGGCACATGGCCGTCTCGCACGACTCGCAGTAGAACTCCATCACCTGGGGGCGGGGGGGCGGTCAGGGGCTGCCCCTCCCCCGCAGCTGCAGGGCCCCCAGCCCTGGCTGTCCAGGCCCATGGGGGTGGCTGGCACCAGGCCAGAAAGCCCCCTCACTCTCTCACTCAGCTCCCGGAGAAGCGGGGTCACCCTGGTCTCTCCACCCCAAGGGCTCCTGCCTGGGCTCCCTTCCCCAAGCCAGGCTGGCACCCAGCTCCCTGAAAAGTGGGTTCACCCTGGCCGGGCCCTTTCTCCCAGGGGCACCCCATCTCCCCAGGAACAGGGGCACCTGCCCTCCCCGGCCAGGGCACCACCTCCCA